CAAACAGATTCATCCTGGAGAGGGTTAAACCAGGCTGCTCCTTGGAGGCAAGGATTCTGGGGCTTCGTCTGACATACTTTGGACATGTTGTAAGGAGGGAGAGATCCTTGGAGAGGGACATCATGCATGGGAGGGTGGAGGGACAGCGCAGGAGGGGAAGGCCCTCTATGTGGTGGATTGATTCAGTGACTGGGGTAATCGGGATGGGTGTGTCAGAGACAGTGCGATTGGCACAAGACAGAGCTGTTGTACATAGGGTCGCTATGAGTCGCAAATGACTCGACAGCCCATAACAACAACAACAACAAAGGAAGTAAAATACCTACACCAGGGCTAAGTGTGGCCCCAGAACTGCCTGCTGAAGGGCTGGCCAGTTGACCAGAGAAACCCCCAAATCTGACTCTCAGATTTCTAGCACTCAGCTCTCGGAACTGAGTCTCCCCAACCACATATTGAAATTTTGGCCCCTTTCTATAGGCATAAATTTGACCATTTGGAAATGGGGTTTTCTTTGTTATGTTAATTAGATCATAAAGTATATTCTACATCTGATTACCTCAGAGTATTGCAGGATGGCCAGGCACTCGGGCCTTCACACTTGCACGCGCACGTGAGCACACATGTGTAGACAGACAACAGAATCCGATGCATCCACATGGGTTGCTGGCAGGCATGAACTTAAAAACTCACTCATTGTGGACACAGAGCTGACCTTCAACGGGATTTCCTAGACTGTAAATCACATGGGAGGAAATTGTCCATCTTTCTTCTCCCAAGGTCCCTCATAGATTCGCACAGCCACAGAGGCTTAGCCTTTGGGATGGCAGCACAACTTGCTAAGGACTATGTCACCAGAGCTGAAACAGACAAGGTAGGACTTCTCCTTAGAGCCACACCCTGAATTCAGATTTCTAGTTTCCTGAGGTTTTAGTTCTAAAGCCACCCACTTGTGGTATTTTTGTTATGCAACATTAGGTGACTAAGCTAAGGCTCCAACGTGATAAACTTACTGTTCTCCAGAAACACAGTTCCATCCCCCCACACTCCAGTACCGAGACTTAAGTGTCCCCCCCATCCTTCTACAAAGGGACCACTCTATAACACTGAGGATAATACCGTTGAAAACACGTCTGCCTTAAAGACAATGAGGCTGCAACTCCCCGCGCTGTGTCCACAAAGATAGCCAGAGGCTCAAATGAGTGTCTGCGCCCTCTTTCTCACCCATCCTCCCAGAAGCAAATCCCCAGAGCCCAAGGGCTGTTGAAACCTTAACAAATCCTTGCTGGCAGATCTAGAACATGAGAGTTTCAGCCGTTTTAACTGCCCAACTCTTGCTTTAAACAAATTCAGTGAAATCTCAAAGGAGGTTGGGATAGGAATTCTGCTTTCTACTACTTCTCAGGCACAATTCAAGGACAGATAAATTTGAGGCTATATTCAGAGCCAAAAATCAGATTACCTCACCCAGAGTGCTGGAATCAAATTCAGGGGAAAGGAGCACGAACCCTCCAAAACAGTGAGGCCAGATGCATGTGCTCGCATTAGAAAGGAGGACAAAACACATGCCTGAATTAACAACCCACACCCAAAATAACTATTTTAAATGGTAGGAAAGAGCTGGAGATCT